ATTCTCACAAAAACAACTCTTCTAATCGAGGACGAACCCACTCAAGTCAGGGTCGTCGACCACCTCATTGCCAAATATGCCGCAAAGAGGGCCATTATGCTGACCGCTGCAACCAACGGTATGTTCGACCTGATTCTTCTCATGCTCACCTTGCTGAAGCCTTTAACACGTCATGTTCTATTGCTGGACCCGATGCTGCTGATTGGTTTTTGGACACTGGAGCTTCGGCCCATATGACTGCCGACCCATCAATTCTGGATCAGTCTAAAAATTACACGGGTAAGGACTCTGTGATTGTAGGAAACGGTGCATCCCTACCCATTACCCACATCGGTACTCTTTCTCCTGTTCCAAATATTCACTTATTAGATGTCTTGGTTGTCCCTCACCTCACTAAAAATCTTCTTTCCATAAGTAAATTAACGTCTGATTTTCCTCTCTCCGTTACATTTACTAATAATCTTATTACTATCCAGAATCATCAAACAGGAAGGGTGGTGGCAACCGGTAAAAGAGATGGAGGGCTATATGTGCTGGAGCGCGGCAACTCTGCTTTTATTTCAGCCCTTAAAAACAAATCTTTACGTGCTTCATATGATTTATGGCATGCTCGTCTGGGTCATGTGAATCATTCTGTTATTTCTTTTTTAAATAAAAAAGGTCATCTTTCTCTTACGTCTTTATTGCCTTCTCCATCATTATGTAATAGTTGTCAGCTTGCGAAAAGCCATCGATTGCCTTATTCCCGCAATGAACGTAGGTCGTCTCATGTGTTAGATCTTATTCATTGTGATCTTTGGGGTCCTTCTCCCGTCAAATCAAATTCGGGTTTTCTTTATTATGCTATTTTTATTGATGATTATTCTCGATTCACTTGGTTTTACCCTTTAAAATTTAAATCTGATTTTTTTGATATTTTTCTTCAATTTCAAAAATTTGTGGAAAATCAATATTCTTCTCGTATCAAGGTATTTCAAAGCGATGGTGGTACCGAATTTACTAGTACTTGTTTCAAAACTCATTTACGTAATTCTGGCATCCACCATCAACTCTCTTGTCCATATACACCTGCTCAAAATGGTCGTGTTGAGAGAAAACATCGTCATGTGACTGAGACTGGCTTGGCCCTTCTCTTTCACTCTCATCTTTCTCCTCGTTTTTGGGTTGACGCCTTCAGCACTGCAGCTTATATTATCAACCGGTTGCCTACTCCACTTCTTGGAGGTAAGTCACCCTTTGAACTCCTTTATGGCTACACTCCACATTATGACAATTTTCATCCCTTTGGTTGTCGTGTTTATCCTTATTTGCGTGATTATATGCCTAACAAGCTTTCTCCCCGCAGCATTCCTTGTATTTTTTTGGGTTATAGTCCTGTTCATAAAGGGTTCCGCTGTCTTGATCCCGCCACCACTAAGCTATATATCACCTGCCATGCTCAATTTGATGAAACTCACTTTCCTGCTATCCCTAGCTCCCAAGCCCAACCTCTTTCCACTATTCCTATTTCAAATTTCTTGGAACCACATCTTCATCATATTGATTCATCCCCCCCTACCACTTCATCACCGCACATTCCTCAATCCAGTTCATCCCCGTGTGATATTTGTTCTGACCTTGTAGATGAGTCTGTGCAGGTTGATACTTCTCTTGCAGGTTCCACTTTGTCACCCTCGACTTCTAATTCAACCTCTATTGAACCTCCTGTTGATTTCTCTTCTTTGGGCACTCATCCTATGATCACACGCGCCAAAGCTGGTATATTCAAGACTCGTCATCCAGCAAATCTTGGTATGTTGGGCTCATCTGGACTTCTCTCTGCTCTTCTTGCATCCACTGAGCCAAAAGGATTCAAATCTGCGGCTAAGAATCCTGCTTGGGTGGCTGCCATGGATGAAGAAATTCGAGCGTTACAACAAAATGATACTTGGACTTTGGTTCCTCGCCCTGCCAACACCAACATCGTGGGCTCTAAATGGGTGTTTCGTATTAAATATTTGCCCGATGGATCCGTCGAGCGTTTCAAGGCTCGTCTCGTTGCCAAAGGTTATACTCAGGTTCCTGGTCTTGACTACACTGACACTTTCAGTCCAGTTGTCAAAGCTACCACTGTCCGTGTTGTGCTTTCTATTGCAGTCACAAATAAATGGCCTCTTCGACAACTTGATGTCAAGAATGCTTTTCTCAATGGAACGCTTATTGAACGTGTTCATATGGAACAACCTCCTGGGTATGTTGATCCTCGATTTCCAAAGCATGTTTGTCTATTAAAGAAAGCTCTCTATGGCTTAAAGCAAGCTCCTCGTGCTTGGTTTCAGCGTTTTAGCTCATTTCTTCTCACACTTGGGTTTTCTTGTAGTCGCGCTGACACGTCCCTTTTTGTCTTTCATCAGCAATCTAACCTTATCTATTTGCTTCTTTATGTTGATGACATTATTGTTACCGGCAACAACTCATCTCTTATTAACAGCTTTACTCGCAAGCTTCATTCTGAGTTTGCTACCAAAGATTTGGGTTCTCTCAGTTACTTTCTTGGTCTTGAAGCTTCACCCACTCCTGATGGTCTCTTTATCAGTCAGTTAAAATATGCTCGAGATATTCTTACTCGTGCTCAGTTGCTCGATAGCAAACCAGTTCACACTCCCATGGTTGTTTCTCAACACCTGACTGCTGATGGTTCTCCTTTCTCTGATCTTACTCTCTACAGATCTCTTGTTGGCGCCCTTCAGTACTTGACTATCACGCGTCCAGATATTGCCTATGCTGTCAATTCTGTCAGTCAATTCTTGCATGCCCCTACTGCAGATCACTTTCTTGCTGTCAAACGTATTCTTCGCTATGTCAAAGGAACACTCCACTTTGGTCTTATCTTTCGTCCATCCACTGTTCCTAGTACGCTAGTCGCTTATTCGGATGCTGACTGGGCTGGTTGTCCCGATACTCGTCGTTCTACATCCGGCTATTCTATTTATCTTGGTAACAATCTCATTTCTTGGAGTGCCAAAAAGCAACCTACTGTATCACGCTCCAGCTGTGAATCTGAGTATCGTGCTCTTGCCACAACTGCTGCTGAACTTCTTTGGGTTACGCATCTTTTGCATGACCTCAAGGTCCCTATTTCACAGCAGCCCTTACTCTTATGTGACAACAAAAGTGCTATTTTTTTGAGCTCTAATCCTGTTTCTCACAAGCGGGCCAAGCATGTTGAACTAGATTATCATTTCCTTCGAGAACTTGTTATCGCTGGCAAACTTCGTACACAATATGTACCCTCTCATCTCCAAGTTGCTGACATCTTCACAAAGAGTATTTCTCGACCTCTCTTTGAATTTTTCAGATCCAAGCTTCATGTTCGTTCAAATCCGACGCTCAGCTTGCGGGGGGGTGTTAAGGATAGTTGACCGTTCATTAAGGCAAATATCTAGATATTTGCCTTACATTACGGGTTACCATATTTTCTCTTTTACTAAATGCAAATATATTGTATTCATTTATTATTCTTTCCTTTTATCGCTATTTCCTTATTATTTGTAATTTACCTTATTTCTGTATTCTGTAAATGATTATAAATAAGAGAACTCTCACCACCATTTGGGTGTGGTGGATTAATCAAACATTCACACTTCTCTTAAATCTTATGTTGATTTAATAATAAATTAGAGGATGCCTATGGAGCGGGGACGGGTTCCAATCTCCACTCTTACAAAATTTTCATTTGTTTAGCATTTTTTAATTAGCACGGAGAAATCTTTCTCCACTCGCTCTTCATTTTACATTGGGTTTGCGGAGCCTCAATCCCACGAATTAAATGAAAATCTCTATAATAATATATCATTAATTAATTTGTCTTTTTTTTTTTTTTTAATTTCAAAGCTGATAGTGACAGAAGAAAATAATTAAATTAAATAGCTTAAATTCTTAGAATATTACCGTTGAGCAGATTTAGGCAATATGGACTGTGGGAAAGATATGCAGAATTATATCCTGATACAGACTTAGTATATACCGTTGGAGTCAGTGATTACCCAAAAGATTGGTTCTTCGCTCATGTTAATCGGTACGTTCCAATATATGGTAATATGTCGATTAAAATATACCAAATTCATAAGGTTTTTAATTAATTAATTAATTAATTAATTAATATTTTAAAATTAATTGCAGGACCAGAAATGATGGGTCCCATTTACCAACCACGTGGCAAATCAAGTTTACACTCGATAACAACGTAGATAAGAGCGGTATCTATAAATTGCGAGTGGCTTTGGCCACTGCCAATGTTGCTGAATTACAGGTACTCATTCTATTATATTATTAAATTATAAAATTAATTTTTTAAATTTGAATAATTTGATATTACTTTTTCTTTTTAAATAAAAATAGATTCGGGTGAACAATCTAGAAGTAGAGCATGCTCTATTTACGACTGGACAAATTGGACACGACAATGCAATTGCAAGACATGGCATTCATGGACTCTATCGACTCTATAGTGTCGACATGTCGGGATCTGTACTGGTAGAAGGAGAGAACACCATCTTCCTTTCACAAATTATAAACGATTCATCTTTCAACGGCGTGATGTATGATTATATCCGCCTCGAAGGCCCCCCATCGGACGTCTCTACACATCCATAAAATATATGTTTTTTCTTTTTTCATGTAAAATTTATAATTATAGAAGTATTGTTGTGAACTAAAAGTTTCTCAGAAATTTTATTACAGAGTCAATTTTTAACCGTTCAGAATAAATTTTTACGGTACCAATGTGAAAATATAATTTTTCAGGATTAAAAAACATATGGAGTACGGAGTAATATTTTAATGTTAAGAAACCTTTTCTTTATTGGGCCGGGCCGAAAGGGTTTATTGGGCTTACAAGAATGGGCCATCGAAACTCAAAACAGGCTTAAGGGCCCAAAATGATTCAACAAAGTCGCTTTCTAGGGAGAAATTCGTCATTTTGATGAGTTTCTATTCCGTCTCTTTGCTGCTATATATACCCTCATCTACAAAATCTAGGGTATAAAAAGCCCCAAATTTCTTCGCTCGCGAAAAGCTTTGGAGCCATCGTTGTCCCGGTTAGAATCAAGAAACGAGAAGAATCACATACTTACCAACAATCTGTAACTACTATTCCTTGCTTCTACTCTCTCTTTAATTTTATTTCGTTCCATTTAGAATTGATCTCTCGCTTTTATTTCGAAGATTTTGCCAGCTTTCTCGAATTCTGATGCTATGTTTCAAAATTTTCTGAAGATTTTGTCAATTCCGGACGTGTATTTTTTGAGTAAATTTGATATCTTAGCTAAAGAGCTTCCATATTTTTCAGATCTTGTTTTCTGAAGAAGAATGGCAACGTTTGAACTCTACCGCAGATCGACGATCGGAATGTGTTTGACTGAAACTTTGGACGAAATGGTCCAGAACGGTACTCTTAGTCCGGAGCTTGCTATTCAAGTTCTTGTCCAGTTCGATAAGGTACAGTCAAAGCTGTTTGGAGATTTTATATATTTTTGGATTTGTGTACGGAATTAAGGTTTAAGGTCTTGTTTGATTTAATTTCCTTCCACTTTTGGCTTTTGCAGTCTATGACTGAGGCTCTGGAATCACAGGTGAAAAGCAAGGTGTCTATCAAGGTATCCTTTTTTTTTTTTTTTTCTGGCTTATGAATTTGGCGGATCTTTTAATGCAGAGATTTATGTTGCTAAGTCAACATTATAAACTTGAAACGTGATTTAATAACTGATAAGAGGAATTGGTTGTGTCTGCCTGTTCTGAGATTGCTCTGTTTGTGCTTTAGTGCACGTCTAGCCTTGAGCCAAATTGTTTTGTCGGCAACACACCTATATGTCGAATGTTTAGTAGAATATTTTCCGTGGTCTTTGGTTTCATATACAAATGCACAGCATACAAACATTTGTATTTGAAACGTGGAAGTTTCGTTGGTGGAACTTTTGATTAGGTTACTTGTGTTCATTCCATTCCTTGTTTTGTTTTCTCCTAATTCTTGAAACGTTTTCAGTATAAAATATTGCACATTGAATTAGTTTATCTGGATTGAACTTTGTTACTTTGTGTTTTTGGAATTTGGCGATAAAGTAATCGATGTCATTAGGGATATGGCCTTGCTACAATATCAGGTTCCACAATGAGCCTTAACGACTATTCAATCCGAAGGGTGTCGGATTTTCTCATGATACTCAGTTGAAAGTTGATAGTGCATAGATTATATGTTAAGTTTTCTTTAAAAGAAACTTTGAACTTACAATCACACAGCAATATTTAAGGTGTTATGTAGTCAACGGGCCTGGCATTCTTCTAGATCTTCCCAGCCATTTCTTTTGTCTCTTTCTTTCATAACACCAATCAATTTGTTTTTGCCAAGTGAATGTATTTCATAACGCCCCCCCACCAATCACCTATTCTGTGTTTTGCAACAGGGACATTTGCACACCTACCGGTTCTGCGACAATGTTTGGACATTCATTTTGCAGGATGCAACATTTAAGAACGAGGATTCCCAAGAGACTGTTGGAAGAATTAAAATAGTAGCATGTGACTCAAAGTTACTCACACAATAAGCTTGATGATGAAATTTGCATAATTATTTGATGATGGTAGAAGGAAATAGTCATGGTGACGAAATGGCCATCCGGGGGCAATGTTGCGAGTTTGAAGCAATTCAAACATGATTCTGTAAAGTCATCGACCCGAACAGCTAAAAGTTACTTTCACGCCCATTGAAGATACATTTGACTGTAATTGGCATTTAAAGCTGATTACATAACAAGTATACAGCCCTTCTAGTGTAATGATAATAAAAACATGATATCTATTTTCATATTATGCTTTCAATCTTTGTTTCTATTAGTGTCTTTCAAACTCAAAACTTATCCCAGAGTTCCACTCATATATTCCTGTCCTTTGTTAAAACCTTTTTTCTGTACATGAGATTCAAGTTTCCATGATTCCATTAACCTTAGCATTTTATTGGCATTAAAAGAGTCAGACATTTTCATGTTTCCCCAAGTATCTGTAACCTTCCATTTTGTCCCCAAGGCGTGCTCGATACGATTGATTTCCAGAAACGCCTAATTGGGCAAACACGATCCAAACATTTTTAGCCCTCGATCCCTTATACAACAATATAGGGAACCCTCCTTGATTAGGAACAAATTTGAAAGCATTTGGTGGTCTATTGCCTCCTCAATTGAAGGTTTTCTCGAATGAGAGGCATGGAAAGAAAGCCCTCCTCTTCATCTTTAATAGCCTCAACTCCATCAAAACTTCTTCACAGACACTATCAGTTACACCACCCGTCCTAAAAGGCAAAAATGAGTAGTTGCCAAACTGGGCCTATTTGAAACCTCAATTCAGAAAACACAGCAGTCCCTTCTAATTTACTAACAACCATGTCCGGGTTTGGACGATATTTAAACCGATATTCGCACGTTTGCTCACCCCTTCCTGCTTGGAATCATTTATGTTGGAGGTAATAAGCTGTAGCCTCACTGAGGCAGAACCATCCTATAGTCTGACATTTTCGTAAGCGCAAATTATCCTTGTAATTCGATGTGTCCGTGGCAGGTCAAAGCCAAAAAGTTAAGATTTGTGATTGGTTCGGGATGTAGTTCTTCAATTTCAATATGGTAGTTGTTAATTGGATCTAGGTCCCGTGGAAAAAGAGGAAGCTAATTGAAGTGATTGATTGATGGAGAAGTTTGAAGAGGTGGAAATGAAAACGATGCTGATAGTGAAACTCTCGTGAAATAATAGAGAAACCCAACTTGGCGAGCCTCCAAGACAATGAGGCGAGCACTACTAACCAAGCCCAACTTCACAAACATAATGCTCAAGCTATTGAAAGAGCTGATCTTGCTTTACCCAAACCTTTCCTCAAATGATAATAAATGTTGATTGCGTAACTATGGTCAAGCATCCTAGTCGACCCTTGATCGAGCACACCACATTACACCAATGTGGTGATTAATCCCACACATTTTGATGCTTTAAGTTAGTACCAAATCAACGAAGACTTACATTTTCAGTGAAAGAGATGTCGAGATAAGTCTGACAATGATCAATCAATTAAGAGGTTCCTTACTCCTTTTGTGTAACATGTTCAGTCCTCGGCTCGGCCTTCATGGTCTCCAAGAATCTTCGTTTTCTTTTCTGGACGCGTGGGCCTATAGGCATCGTGGGTTCAAACCCATGCGCCACCGCATGATTTTACCCGGAACAATATTATAATCAAAACAATGAAATGATAGTTCATATTCCAAAATGCCGGCTCGTGATATTTGCTCAATCACGATTATTGGCCGTTTCTTTATAATATTGATGTTTCAGATCCATAAGCTCGAAGCCTGCTTCAAAAAGAAGCTGAAGCAATTGGTCTTTCACTGATTCAGTGCTTTGCTTTGATGGCAAACGGCGGCGTTCTGCACGTAGTGGTATTCCCATGGCTAGCCTTGGGCCATCTCATTCCCTATGCTCGTCTCGCCATTTGTTTAGCCCAAAAGGGCCTTAAAGTTTCCTTCATATCAACCCCAAGGAACCTCGGTAGAATTCCCAAAATACCCCCACACCTCTCCTCCGCCGTAAACCTCGTTGGCTTCCCTCTGCCCCCCGTCGACGATCTTCCGGTCGCCGCCGAGGCTTCCTCCGACGTACCGTACAACAAGCAACAGCTATTGAAGAAGGCCTTCGACTCTTTGGAATCGCCGTTGTCCGATTTGCTTCGCGATTTAAATCCCGATTGGATTATCTACGATTACGCCTCTCACTGGCTTCCGCCACTCGCGGCAGAGCTCCGTATATCGACTGTTTACTTCAGCCTCTTCACCGCCGCGTTCCTTGCCTTTCTCGGCCCGCCGTCGAAGCTGTCCTATGGCGGAGGTTCCCGGTCAACGGTGGAGGACTTCATGAAGGTCCCTGAGTGGATGCCTCCAGAATCGAACATCCTCTTCCGGTACCATGAGATAAAAAAATCCTTAGACGGAGCAACCGGAAATGAATCCGGAACGTCCGATTCAATCCGATTCGGTGTTTCAATCGAAGAGAGTGTGGCTGTGGCCGTAAGAAGCTCCCCGGAACTGGAGCCGGAATCGTTCGATTTGCTCTCAAAGCTCTACCAGAAGCCAGTCATTCCGATTGGATTCCTACCTCCATTAACGGAAGACGCAGAGGAACTGAGCGGAGATATCAAAGAATGGTTGGAGAAACAGAAACCGAACTCAGTTCTGTACGTTTCATTTGGAACTGAAGCGTTTCTGAGTCAAGAAGACGTCACTGAACTAGCCTTCGGGCTGAAGAAATCTGAGATTCCATTTTTGTGGATTCTGAGAAGAAATTCACATAAGAACGAATCAGAAATGTTACCAGCCGGATTCAAGGAGCAAGTCGGAGGCCGAGGATTGCTTCACGAAGGATGGATCTCACAGGTGAAGGTACTGAGTCACAACTCGGTTGGCGGTTGTTTGACTCACTGTGGATGGAACTCAATCATAGAAGGGCTCGGATTTGGGCGAGTCATGATTCTCTTTCCTGTTGTGAACGACCAGGGATTGAACGCAAGACTGTTGGAGGAGAAGAAACTCGGAATCGAGATCGTGAGGAATGAAAGAGATGGATCATTCACGCGCGACTCGGTTTCAGAATCGGTGAGGTCGGCCATGGCAGAAGGTTCGGACACAGGCAAACGATTGAAACAGAGAGCAATGGAAATGAAAGAGTTGTTTGGAGACGGAGATAAGAATGAACGTCACCTGGACGGGTTTGTGCACTTTCTTAAGTCAAAACAGAAATGAACGGTCTAGACCGTTCAGTAATAAAATATAGATTAAATTATTCAAAATTCCCTAAAAACTTAATTACTGGACTGTTCATGGCCCATCTATAATTTGGGCCGGTCAGCTCAAGCCCAAACTATAATTTGAGCCGATCAAGCTGTCAGGAGCCCAGCCCATTCGGAGAGAGATGATCCTATGGCGTTTAACAATTCCCACGCCACTCTCGAATCATTCAGGCTCCTTTACATTATTTTAAATGACTAATATATTCGAATTTTTGACATAATATCATTTTAAAAATATTTAAATATATGCTAAAATACTTCAATCATTTTCATTTTCATAAAATATATAAACATGATATTTCAAATAATACTGTTAGAAATCACGACTCTCTACAGTGGTATGATATTGTTGATATTGTTCACTTTGAACATAAGTTCGCGTGATTTTGCTTTGGGCTTAGGCCTCATACTAATGGATATGTATTCATTAACTCATGATCATTCCCTAAATTTGAAACTCCGTCCAACAATCCTCAACCACATATGTGGAAGAATGTATAGGACATTTTAGAGTAAGATTTATTGGGAATTGAAGCATGACATCCATGTTGGGCAAGGAATAGAACGGATGAGCGCCCCTCCCCGGCTCCCAAGAGCCTCCAACTTTTGTCCCTTCGGAAGCCTAGGGATACAGAATATTCTCCCCCTATTTAACTCTCAATTTTAATATTATTTTGATTACTACATCTAACAAGAAACAAAACAAAACAATATATATTATAAATACTCATTTAATTTCGTTTTTCTAACTTTTATAATATTAATTTTTATCCCTATCACCATAAATTTTGGTTTTTATTTAAGAAAAATATTGCGCCACCTCGTGGCTTAATAATTATTCAAATGATCTTACGTAAACGTTTAATAAAAAGTGTCTATCTTATTCTAGAACGCATATGTTTTAAAATATTTTTATATTACTAATACGATGAAATTTAATTTTTAATTGTCAACTTCCTATAAATTTACAATCAGTCGGGGTTAGGGTGGGTGTGTTTTTTTTTTTTTTTAATTATAAAAACAATAATAAATTATTAACATTTGATTTTAAATTGACATGTCAGCTTTTATTAAATATTTATATTAATAATTAATTAAATATCACTTTTCAAATTTAAAACTAGAAGGACTAATTCGACACTAAACGTCAATAATCAAAATTGAAATTATGATGTTTACAATGGGCCGGGTCATGAAGCCCAACAAAATTGGTGGGCCCCATGTGACGCGAACGACATCGTTTCTCTTGATTTGGCCGAGACTCTCAGAATGGGAAAGAGAGGGAACCCAACTAATTAAAAAACAATAAACAAAATTAAAGAATAAAATTTGAATTAAAAACTAAATAATATATTTAATAATGATAATAAAAACAAGGCACACTGGCTCGTTCACGCTTCCCGCCAACAAATCCCCCCCAAAACTGAAAAATCGGGATTAATACGGCTTTCTAAATTTTTGGATCGCCACGTGGCGTGGATAGTAGCTTTGACTCTCCTATTTTCCTTTGTGCATGGGGTTCTCCACGTATAACACGTGATAATCGTCACCAGTCCTCGTTCATCGTATCTTCCTTCTGTTTCTTTTTTCCCCGATTAAATGTAGTCCTAGCGTCCTTGCATTTTCAAAATAACAATAATAAATTAATGTTTTTATTAATATATTAAATAGTCCATGCTATGTACAGTATTTTTATTTCAGAAAAGCTCCGAATTTCCCCTTTTTTTTTCTTTTACATTTTATTATAATTATTAAGAAACTCTCAAATAATGATTTATTTAATGTTTAGTAGTTGGTGATTGGTTGCTTACGTTTTATTTTTAATATTAAAATAAATGGATATTCACTAAAATTGGGTGAGTACTATAATTTTGTTGTGATCCAATTTATATATTATAATAATTTTTTAATTACAATTAAAAAATTCATACGTATTTATGGAATATAAAATATATGATTAGTATGTAATTAATAATATTTAATAAATAATTCACAAAAGCTCCGTTGGTT